GACAGCAGTGGCTGAACTGATTCACTTCCACCTTCATCCTCTGGGTGGCCCTCTAGCACACAAAAACAAACAGTATTTGACTGCCGTTAACCTTCGGCAGTGAATTGAGCCACGCCTCCTCCTCCTCCGACCGCTCCGCCTCTTTGGCGATGTCACATTTCCTCCTCATCGGTACCAGGGTCTGGCACCGTTTGTCCACATGTGCCTGTAAATCTAAACATAACGTTTGAATAATAAAAGATTACTACAGGAAGTTGTTTGTTTGTCACGTGACTAACTGTTTTTTCTGCCCCCTGTGGTCAGTTTTGATATGACAGTCTACAACTGTACTGTCAACTCTGAAACAAAGTGCACTTCTACAGACTAGTCCAACAGGGGGCACAATCGAGCCCCATGTTGGACCAGTCTGTGAATGTGTTTTAAGAGACAGTTGGAACCAAAGAGTACCAGCCAAACCAGTAATCAGTACCAGGACGTCCTGGTGACTAATGAACCAGTCACAGCACTCACGCCCCCTGTAGGCGCTAATGATTCACTGACGGGTGGTATCTGACACTTACCGTTTGACGACAATACATCACGTGACTCACGGATCAGTCGCTGGAACTCATTTCCGTCGTCTTGATTTTGCCCGGACCACGATGGTGGCGACTGTGACGCCAGACGTCGTCCTTCCGTTCATTGGTCAATAATGGGACATGATGAAGGCTCTTCTTTCTCCACTTCCGGTCGCCGTGATCCCCGATGTTTCATAGAGAATCGAAGTGAAATCGATGTCCAGCTTCTCCACAGCACAGCTAACAGCACAGCTAACAGCACAGCTAACTGTTAGCCTCAGCAGCTGAATGAGAGACTGACGTTTCTCCCACATCTGCGAGTGAAGGAGCGGCAGCTGCGGGTGAGTACCAGCCCCCCCCCCCCCCACCCCACCCAGCGGAGTTGTGCACGCGCACACGCCCTGCGGCACCACGCCGTGTGTGCGTTTCATCCAACACTTGTTTGATTTCCCCTGAGCACAGACGTACGTGTGTGTGTGTGTGGTTCTGGTGAATGGGCTCGTGAACCCCCCCTCATGGCGAGCGCGGAGTCGGACGCCCTGGCAGTGGTGACCCAGCTGAAGGAGCTGGCCTCTGACCCCATGAACCGCCGAGCCATCGTTCAGGACCAGGGCTGTCTGCCGGGACTCATCCTGTTCCTGGACCACAGCAACCCCCAGGTGGTCTACGCCGCCCTGCTGGTGAGTCATGGTCATGCACCTCTGTAGCTGTCAGTCAGGTCTGTGGGGCAACACTCACCGATGAGGATGCTGGGAGTAGAGGGAGGGGGGTGGGGATGGGGGGGGTCACTGACGTCACTGATGTTCCTCACTGTCGGTCAGGCAGTGCATGAACAGTGCCCCCTACTCTGTGGTAATATAGTGCT